GCGCAAGAAAGGCGAAGGGACAGAAACCCAAGTGAAAACTTTTGTCGAGGAGCAAAGAAGTGTAACCAAGTGGACGAGGAAGTGTAACCAAGTGGACGAGAGTGAACAGTGGAAACAAGTGGGACAGATGCTAAATCTAAATCAAATAACAAAATTATCAGCAGGTGGAAGCGCTAAATGCATAGGGGCCATACAGCGCCTGGGGGAATGAAAATTATTTCGTTTCAATCCCAGGAAGAGAACAGTTCCAATTCCTTGCATCAAGAGCCTCTCGCCAGCATCCAGGAACGTCCTAGTCCGATGCCAAAATCCTTCGCAGAAATTTAATATAGCAAGACATGAATGCCTTGCTTCACATAATAAATTTAAGCGTAAATTTTGGCCATAAATACGAAAGCAATTTTATTTGCATGAATAAACCGCCAATTTACGACAATTTTTAATTTGAGCTGAATGACCCAACACAGGAGTAGGAACTAAAAACTGGATTTTTTTTTTTTTGGGGGGGGGGCGTCCTACCCAAAGGGGGGAAAATGCCCGGAGCTCTTCCGACACACTGATTATATTCGTGGAGAAGGGCTAAACCCTTAGGGGCCCCTAAAACGCCTGGGGGAACGAAAGGTATGATCCGAGGAATAGGTATACCTAATTGCTCGGATCAAGTGACCTTCAGCATCAGAGAGGGAGCCCTTCCTGGATGACCTGCGACCAACATGACGCAAACTGGCTATACTGACGCAAGTGCCTATAAGACAAGAGGCACGAGTACCTATATACACACAGTTTATATGAAGATGACTTTGATCGTGGAGATTATTCAGCACTCTTGCCTATAAATATATACAATACAATGCATATAAAGTTAACAAAATACTAATAACATTAACACAACAAATATATACTAGCATACTAAGTTAAAATAGTCACAGTGTCAGCTAAAAGAAAAAAAAAATCCCCTTAAATGTTAAAATATTCTCCTTGGTAATTGTAAAAGTCGTGATATAGGCAGAAAATCATAGCCGTGAGCAAACTTAAAATAGTTTCCACAGTTAACTACTCGCCACAAGTTACGCTGAAGGAAAAGTGGGGTAGGAGTACCTACTAACAGGTGGATATTGGCGAGATGTGTGTGCCCGATCATCAAGCTATAGATTCTATCACTTTTTTTTCCATCTGTGGGACAAACCGGGTCTGCCACTTCCCAAGGACATATCTGTAAATGGTCCATTAAGTCATTAACGCAAAAGTCTACTGCAGAGTGGGCTTGCTACAGCAGTCTTTGCCTCAACATCCTCATGATCATTTCCCGTCACACCAGCATGGACCTGACATCCACAGAACTCAACATCCTTCTTCAGTAGAGACGAGCTAACCGCTCCACGATCTTTAGGACCACAGGGCATACAGAATTGAGAATTTGAGTACACGATGAACAGAGATCCAGCAACGAGAACTGCATGGAACCTCTTCAGTAGTTGTAATATTATCAAAATTTCGACCGTGTAGGTCACTCAGCTCTCATAGCAATAGAAAACTTATAAAACACAATAGCAAAAATAAAATTAATAAACAAAAGCTATAAACAAACGGTCAACATGAATACTATCACACCAAGTTGCTATAAAAACCTGATTAAACTGTCAACAAAATCCCTTAAAATTTACCAGAGATTTCTATAGGCACCCCGGTAAAGGCAGAAAGGCCTAAGTCGAGGGCAAACTTAAAATGTGTGTAATAGTCAGCGACACACCACAAGTTATACAGATATGTAAAGGAGCACCTGCGAACAAGTAGCTATGGGCGAGATGTGTGGCCAGTCCTCAAATCAACAGGGATTCATTTCAAAGTGACTATGCCTGTTTGAGGGAGAAAAAAAAACTCACGTCCTGCCAAACCCTGTATAACTTGCGGCCAGTCTGCAGAGCCCACCTTACCCGTCACTTCCAAAGAACATATCTATGGATATGGCATGAACTGGCTAAGGCAAAGGCTGAGGTAGCATCTGCCCGTTCATTTCCCGGGACATTAACATGGCCCAGGCACCAACAGAACTCCATATGTAGATATATGGTTCAGAGAACAGACAAGTTGATAAATTAGACACATATGCAACACTTGGGAATCTTTATTGAGGAAACGTTTCGCCGCACAGTGACTGCACCAGTCTACAAAGGAGAATGGTGAAGAACAGAAGTAGTTTGAGGTAATCAGTCCTTCAGCCTTGAGCTGATGTAATCAGTACATCAATCTTGAAAAGAATACAGTACATATGACAAAGAAGTGGCTTATATACTGTGGACAAGTAATGTGAAGCAGTCATAGGATTTGTCAATCCAAATGTGGAAGTAGGTCATGCCGCACGTGGAGATAAGCCAACCGCTCCAAGATCTATGGAGCCACACGATGAACAGAAGCATAAGAGACCTTGGCACACAGTTCACATTAAGAATCGAGAACCAACTAAGCCAGCTATCAGAACAAGAGCAGCGAGGGTTGTGCGGAGCTCTGCGGTGAACAATGAATCTCCTTCCCGGCAATCACAGTTAAGTCACCATCATCCTAGCTCTTTGAGCAATTAGTAAAGATCTTTGTTCCTGAACCGTTAACAAATCATTCTCAAAGAAATTAACTAGGGTCATCACCGGGGCTAGACATTTAAGGATCCCCATCCACTGCCTTCAAAGACGAACCTCAGGCACCGTCCACGGAGAGAAGCCAACCTCTCAGACCACATCAAGGTCACAATCCAGGAAAGACGTAAGCGTCAGAATGCAAAAATGACCTCATCACGAGTCGGGTTGGCAGTTGTGTACCGAACCCCTGCTCTTCCCCCCCCCCTCAAAAAAAAGTGAATTCCTAGCTCCTCATGCCAGTGATCCAACAGATTTATCATGGGGAAGCGGTAAACCTGTAGGGATTTAAGATCCAAAAGACGCTCACCAGATTCAATATAAAAGTTCTCAACAAGGAAAGCACGGAAGGCACACAAGGAAAGATACATCCTTAGGAGATAAGCAGGATGTATGAAGTATAGCAAGAAACAGCTGGCCTAGAAGTATATCTGGCAGTCACATACAAGCCCATAGTCCTTGGATCCGTCCCCAAGCATGCTGGGAAAGCATCATGAGAATGCCTAGTGCCTGCAGAGTATCCAGTTTGAGCTTCTTAATACGAGAGGCCAACATGACGTGATGATGCAAGATCAACATGGAGCAGCGCACAGGAAGCAGGCTTTTGAACCCAGGACCATGTTAAATGAATAGCAACCGTCTTCAACACGGAAGACTAGTAGCCATTTTAAGCAGCCCACTCCGTGTTATCCACGGCCACCTGTAGTGTGGGAGGCCACCCTGTAGCATACACTGCAAGATCGTCCACATACATGCACAAGCGGGCCTCGACCTCATCAGAGATAACAATGAGCACATCCAGCCATGACTATTAAAACCTGCTCACTATGGAGAAGGCTAGGCAATGTCACTACACTAGTTCAAATAATCAATGAAAGCACATTCACTGATGACCTCATGATACAAGAAAACCAGGGCTTAGCAAAGGCCATAAATCCTTATCAGATTGTCCTTAGAGATATGACGGAGGTTAGGAGGCAAAATGTCCCATTATACCTCTAACTGCTGCTTCAAACTTATTAACTTTTAAACCGGCTGGAACCGGATCGTAACATGCAAGAACATCTGGTCCTCTTTGCATTCTCACTTAATGGCTCGGGAATGGTAAGTCAAAGTATCCTCCAAGGTCTCAACACAAAGGCACTGACCACCCACCACAGTCATACAATTAGGTAATGCCTTGGCATTACCTTGACAACAAGGGTAAGATAACCATAGTGTGTTTATCATGCCGGTGGAAACGATCTGTTCGACACTACAAGATAATAAAAATAACATTAACATCTTTATTTACGTTATAAGACTAAAGACTCTCCTTCCAAAATGGGGGCAGTATTAGTCAGAGCCACGGCCAACAACAGCAACCGTGTGCCGGGGTGAGTCTAGCACTGGGTCACTCATGAATTACGTCCTCACAGGGGTTGTCAGGTATCGCTTCTGCAGAAGAACCAGTGGAGGTTTAGCGGCCCGACAGATATAAAAATTAAGAGATAGAAGAGAGAGCAGAGTAGAAGTGGAAATAGAAAAAAAAATGTTCGGGTGACTAATAAAATGAAGAAAGCACTGCTTAGCCACTGTCTCCATATGCCACACCAACGAGGCCAAGAGTGTCAACTTTGTTTTGGGACTATCGTTTACCCTGCCAAGGGACAACCCCAAGATGACTTCCTAGAATTAACAGGGAAAGACTTAACAAAACTGTGCTTAGACTGGCAGCGCCAGAGGTGCTAGCAGCATTAGACTAGTAATGAGCCATGGTGAACCCGGCAGAAAACCGAGAGTGGCCACTACTACAGTTACTGCAGGTAACCTAGGATAGTATTTCCGTCTCATAACACCAGACGACCAACCTTATGTACTACCAGGTGGTCCACCAAGTTCACCTGACACTCAGCAGTGTTAACATTAGAACAGTATCAGACAATGATCCCTCATGGCAAAATTTAACAAATTTAAACTCCCTGCTAAGCAAGTCAAGAAGAGGGAGGAGGAGTTGCTTGGTTCTTAATAAGGTGTATCCACTCACACATCAGCACGTTAAGTTGTAGAATGAATCACATGCAAAATTTGAGAATCAGTAAAGATTCCCAAATGTTGCACAAGTGTCTCATTCTTCAACCTGTGGGTGTTCTCAACCAGTTACAAGAATAAGGTGTCCAGCATCGTGGAAGTAAATGTGTACAGAGGCAGAGGGACAAGTGTACTCACCCAAATATCCCATGGTCAATGCTAGAGTTCTGGGATATTATAAGGTGCATGATAAGAGTGTGGCTCACCAACGCAATTTCAAAAACAGGTTAACATTCAGTATACCACATACCCCTGGAGTTCCAAGAGCCCTACACACACACACAAACTTTTAAGACCTACCCTGAACCTGGTGACACTGACGGTCTTGTTGGCGGGTCTCATGGGGTTGTCGTTGAGATCTGCAACAGTGACAGTGATGGTGGCAGTGGCTATGAGACTGCGGGCGTCACCCAGCACTAGAGGCAGGAACCGCGTCACTGCCTCCTCCCTATCCAGCGGTCCCAGGGACGTCACCACCACCACCCCACGCCCCTCGTCACCCTCTGTAACAACACCACAAGTTTAGTGTTACACTCTGGAACAAGATCAAGATCACGTTTTATGAGACACTGTAACAATACCATAAGGTTTCTGTTACACGCTGGAACAAGATCACAAGTTTAATGATACACTCTGGAACAAGACCAAACGCTGTTCGACTCTAGAATTACAGAAGTTTAATGCTGCACTCCGGAACAAGTTGCACAAACCGAGATGCATTATATAAAGATATTACTAAATTAGAAGAGCTCTCCACAGTGCTCTAACCCTGAAGGATAAAGTGTTATCAGATGCGGCGGCGGTATCACAGTCAATACGACATTGGGTGCTGGAGGTACACAAGCGCTCCATCAAAGAAGGCAATTTACTGCGCACATATACTGGAAATTATCAGCTGTCATGTAAACCCACTTCCACTGCGTCTCTCACCTCCAGGCAAGAAAATTCGGAATTCTGCTTTAATGTCCAAACTTTAAAAGTCAAGAAAACGGCAAATTTACTCGAGGATACTGCGACTATTTGCTTTTGATCTCCGCCACGTCGACTGAGGTCTTAAGTCTTCGGTAATATTGAGTTCAGGTCCTGGCCTGAGTTGATCGATAATTTATTCCTTAAAGTGTCCAGTATTAGGTGGGTTATGCCGTGGATGTAGTTTCATTTTGTGGAAACAGAAATGCAACTTGAGGAAACTCAACGTAACCCAGCCTAAAATAATCTTACGTAACTTAACCTTGCCCTGCCAAGGGCAGATATGAAAATGGTGCGTCTTTGTTTACATGACTACAGTAACCGCTGATTGACGTGCTCCTCGTTCCAACAATTATATTTGATAATTTCTCACAAAATAAATAGCAATTGTTGCCAGTGGATACCATGATAGTATTTTAGATAATAAGGGGCAAATTCAGACCAGGACCTAATCTCAATATTAGTCAAAGCTTCCAATTAAATGCATGAACAGCGCTGAACTTGCATGGATCAGCTAAGCAATGGGAGGTAATTAGGTTCGACCCGGGAAAAGAAGTTTTCAACAGTTCAAGATATGAAGAACCTTCCATCAGCATCAAACTACCGCTCATCTTCATAAAGTTAATTAGTAAAATTACATTGAAGGTACGAGTCTTGTAGTGCCTCTCCCCCCCAGCCACATCAATAGTGTGACCTTCCACAGCGGTGCTGGGGGGGGTCACAGGGTTATATATGGGTGGTGGTGGAAGAGGCAGACGACCTTGTACTCCACACTGGACTATACTATCAACCTTGTCTTTACATGAACCGAATTAAATTGCTGGTTTGCAAGATTTAAACACACAATGCCCTTGGCCATCCTGCAGAGAGGAGGACCTCGAAGCACTAGTCTGAAATTCTCTTTTTTTTTTCCTTTCTCCAAGCTTTCGTATATAATTTTATCATACCTCATTCGATCGGATTAAACTTTCCGATGATGGTCTACTGTAACGGGAAGAAAAGGATTCGTGCAACTATCGGTATATGTAGGTGCTCTTCTGAACAAATCTAAAATAACCCATTATAAACCTCCAGGAATGGGTATAACTTTGAAAAGCTTTTCCCGCTTGGCTTCAGAGATTTAGAAAAGGTGTATCCTACATCGACAAGGGCGGAGAGTAAGTCAAGTAAGTGTTGGTCTAAATATGCAAATAATGCGTAAAAATAAAACTTAAAGGAGTCACTAAAGAATGCTTATGCCCATGCACAGTCTTAATCTCCTCCCTGGCTGAAAGAATGTACCCAAACCCTTTAGTCAGGTCAGTTTACAATTACTTAAGGAGGAAGGAACTGCAACGACGTTTGAAAAAGCTTTTGATCGGTTCTAAACTTTACACTGTAGCTCCCATTAACTCAAGTTATTGTATCAGGCCTACACAAGTACACTAACGTCGGCTAATTCTATAATTTTATTTCGGAGTTTAGTTCCCCCTTCATTACATAAGATACATTAGACACCTAGTATACTTTATATATCCCTTCATGACAATCTGAATCTGTTAAAAACCTTTTAAAAAAACTATTCACTGGAAGTGAACCTGTCCTTGGCTAATATTTTTCAGACTTATTTTACTGCCATGTATATTTAATCTTTCAATCCAATTTATAATCAAAAATATCGCTAATCCACGTCTTTCAGAATGCACTTTCAGGCCTTCAAACTTGCTATTCATAGTGAATTTTGTGATAATTATCTTTGTCAGTCAGTAGTAAGTTATCCAAGAGAATTTATATCCATTTGTATACGGTGCCCAAATGTGATAATTATGAATGTTTTAACCATAGGTGTTAGAGTTGAAGAAAAATGAACTCCATTATTTTGCATTCTTGATATGATAGTCAGGTATTTATAGCTTTAAAATTCGAAGTCTTATGCACTGGTTGCTTGTTTTCAGATTACTGCTAACCAGACTCCTAATTTTTTCGCAATCCGTATATAAGATCTACATTATTAGTTTATATGTGGCATGGTTATTGTCACTGTCCAACATTTAGAACTTTGCATGTCCTATATTAAACTGCCACTGCCACTTCTCCGACCACTGCATCAAGCTATTCAAATCTTCCTGGAGTGCTCGAATGTCCTCGTCAGAATGAATTCGACGGCCTATCTTTTTGTCTCTACGGCAACCTTGCCGTCATGCCTCTTTATACCCTCATCTATGTCGTATGTATTGTGAACAGCAAGGGGCCACAACAACTGACCCTGTGGAACACCGTCGTACGCTTCCCCACTCTGATTTCTCCCCATTTAGCAACTTCTGCTGCCTATTGTCAACCATGCTCTATCGGAAAAAATTTCTCCTCTATTCCATGTGCTTTAATTTTCTCAAAGTCTCTGATGGGGACTTCAAAAGCTTACTGAAGCCATTACCAAATCATTTCATTCATGATTACCTCTCAAAACCTAGTGAAAAAGTTAAATCGTAAGGCAGACCCCCTTTGTAAAACCATGCTGAGATTCGTTGATTAATTTATGCTTTTCAAGGTGGCTACGAACTGCCTCGGCAATTATTGATTCCAAAAATTTTTTCCCACTATGGAGGTTAGGCTTATTGGTCTATAGTTCGAAGCTAAGGACCTGTCACCTGTTTTGAAAATAGTATCACATTTGCCATTTTCCATTTATCTGGCACCATGCCAGTTTGTAGTGATATGTTGAAAAGATTAGCCAAAGGTGTGCTAAGCTCCTCTTTACATTCCTTTAGAACCTTGCATACAGTTCATCAGGGCCTGGGGATTTGTTAGGTTTTAATTTATCTATTTGCCTAAGACCATGTCACTTGTGACCCTAATAGTGCACAGTTTATTATCGTCCTGTTCTACATAATTTATCATTACTGGAATATCACTGGTATCCTCCTGTGTAAAAAACTGAGAGGAAGTATGTGTTAAAAATTCTACACATTTCCTTATCACTGTCAGTGAGCTGACCCGAGGAACTTTTGAGTGGGCCTATCTGTCCCTGATCTTACTTCTGTATACCTGAAAGAATCCTTTTGGGTTAGTCTTCGATTCTCTTGCAACTTTAACCTCATAATCTCTTTTTGCTTTTCTAATTCCCTTTTTTATTTCTCTCTTTAACTGAATATATCGATTTCTTAATTGCCCCTCTCCTCTTTTGATTTGCCTATATATGCCTCTCTTTGACCAATCAGATATTTTAATCTATTGTTCATCCATTTAGGATCATTTTTGTTTGATCTGATTTCCCTATTTGGAACATAATTTGACTGAGCAGCTAGAACTATGCCCTGGAAAGCATCATATCGGCAACCATCACCACCTACCTGACCCTTAGTCAGGTCATTCCAGTTCAGCCCACCTAAGTAATTTTTCAGTCCTATGAAATCAGCCAAGCGAAAGTCAGGGACGGAGACTTGATTGCCATTATTAGGGGAATTCCATAATATGTTAAAACTAAGTGATTTGTGATCACTCTCCCCAAGCTCATCATTAACCTCAAGATTATTAATTAGTGTTTCCCTACTGGCAAGAACCAAGTCAAGGAGGTTATTTCCCTAGTTGGCTCTGTCACAAACTGTTTTAAAAAAACAATCCTGGATCGAATCAAGAAAGTCACCCGACTCTAAATTTCCTGTCAAATTGCTCCAGTCAATCTGTCTATAGTTGAAATCTCCCATTAGCACATTTTCGTATGTAGATGCCTTACGAATTTCGTCCCATAGAAGTTTACTGCACTCCCTATCAAGATTTGGGGGGCCCTGTAAATCACACCCAAAATTAGTTTTTTCTCGGCCCTCGAGAAGCTGTAACCAAACAGATTCAGTGGCTGACGCTTCTAATTTAATATCTTGTCTAACACAACAATTTAAATTGTCTTTGGACATTCATCGCTAAAAACCACTTTAACCTGTTGACCCTCAGTGTGAATAATTTATAGCCTGTATGTGCATTCAGAGGGCACTTCTATCTTTCAGATGAGCCGGTCTCTGTTTATGCATATACATATCTATGTTTCCTGCACTTGCAATAATCTATATTATTTATTTCTAAAACTCCTGCTATTAGATATAAACCTAAGGGGCTAGTCTTGCTGCCCTCTGCTGTCCCCATTGTTTTGCTGACCTGTTTATTGTCTTTATTTATAACTTCAGCGATGCTTTTATAATTTTACGTTTCAACCCTAGTGTGCAACCTGCATGTTACACAAAACCTTCCATCATTTAAAATCATGGAACAGCCTCTGAACTTGCATGGATACACCTATGCACTGTGGATGTAATTAGTTGATCATTCTGTTGAAAAAAGTTTTCCAGTTCAAGATATGAAGTTCCTTCCTTTCAGAAATTTACACAACTAACCCACTCACCCCTTCTAAAGTCTAATTATTTAAAATTAATGAAATTAAGTACGAGTCTTCTAGTCAGCTCTTCTCCCCCCTTCCCAATATGTGACTTCCACCAGCATGAGCGATAATGGGTTGGGCCCCATACAGGGACTGATATTATCCAGCGGGTTGACAAGCCCCAACACCTCCAGTAACCCACCCCTACTATCATCTAACCTTTCCCTTTACAATAACCGAATAATTTCTGGTTGCAACAAACCACAAAATGCTCCTTCCATCTGCAGAGGAGAGACCTCCGGCAAAGCACTAGACAGAAAATTTCCCTCTTATTTTTTTTTCCTTATCTCATGGCTTTCGTTTTAAATTTGATCATACTCGCATTGGATCGGTGACACTTTCCGTTGGTCCCTACTGTAAACGGTGAAGAAAAGGGACTGCACTCACTGTAGAATGCTCATTCCCCACATCTAACCACCCCATTATCCTCAGGATTGGGTATTAAACTCTTGGAAAAGCTTTCCCCTTGACTTCACAGATTTTAAAAACGCAGTATCCAACATGCTGTAAACCGTCCAGTAAGTCCCAAGAAGTGGGTTGGTCTAATAATGCATAAAATTGCGTGCAAAAGAAAACTTAAATGACGTTCACTCAAGTACATCCGTTTTTATGCACAGCTTCAATCTTTAATAGCTGATACATGATGCTGAAAAGATAGTACCCAAGAAGCTTAGTTTATATACCAGTAGGTGCAAGTTTACCAATATACTAACGTAGTAAAAGATTTTGGAATTATTGGAATTTCTGCAAGAAGTTTGAAAAATGATTCTTTTGATCGGCTTCAAACTTTTTAACATGTAGCGTTCCCATGAACGCTAAGTTATCATTGTTATCAGGCTGCACAAGTCCCAAGTCGTTAATTCTATTAAATATTTTTATTTCCATTTAATAAGTAACGTCTCTTGATTACATATAGAACAGTAGATCAGCTATGTATGACTTATAGTATGATCACCTTCATGTTCACATTATGCAGGTGTAAATCTGACAACAAACATACTTAAAAAAAACTAAAATCACTGGATAACTAGAGAATAGCTCGTCCGGTTGGCTTCAAACTTTCAACTTTTAGAGTGTTGTACTTAGCGAGGTGTATAAGTTTAATGAACTTTCATTATTATTATTATAATCAAAAAGAAGCGCTAAGCCACAAGGGCTATACAGCAATGAACTTTCAAGCCTTCAAAACTTGCTCATTCTGTCAGTGAATTTGTGAGAGTAATTATGCTCTGTCAGACAAGTAAGTAAGTCATCAAGATGAAAATATATTAAACATAATTTTAAAACATTACAAATATAAATTATGTAATGTTTTACACATTTTTTTCAGCCGTTTAGGAGACAGTGATTTTTTTTTTTGTAAAAAGACCACACCATATATTTAGTCGAATTTAAATTTGATATATATTTGTACAATATACTCTCTCAGTAAGTTCCGTTAAGTTTACTGGTTCAGTGTAATGTAGACTAAGACAACAGACTGAACCAGCATCAAGGAACCGTTCTTGAAGGTTATGATAAACACAACCTACCCGACAACCCCCCCTTATCCTCCACCCCCCTCATCCTCCACCGCCACCCACCCTCAATCCTCCACCCCCCTCATCCTCCACCCCCCTCATCCTCCACTACCCCCTCATCCTCCATAACACCCCTCCTCATCCCCACCCCCCCTCATCCTCCACCCCCCCTACATCCTCCACCACCACCCTACCCCTCACCCCCCTCATCCTCCACCCACCCCCCATCCTCCACTACCCCTCATCCTCCACACCCCCCATCTCACCTCACAACCACCCCTCACTCCACCCCACCCATGCATCCTCCACCCCCCCCATCCTCCACACCACCCTCATCCTCACCCCCTCATCCCCACCACCCTCACCCCTCCACCCCCTCATCTCCACACCAACCCCCTCATCTCACCACCACTCACCACCCCTCATCCTCACCACACCCCCCCTCACTCCCCTCCCCCACCTCCTACCCCTCTCCTCCACCACCCTCCTCTCCACCCCCTTCCTCCCCCCCTCTTCCATCACCACCACCCTCCTCCTCCTCCTCTTCCATCACCACCACCCTCCTCCTCCCCTCCTCTTCCATCACCACCACCCTCCTCCTCCTCCTCTTTCCATCACCACCACCCTCCTCCTCCTCCTCTTCCATCACCCCACCCTCCTCTCCTCCTCCTCTTCCATCACCACCACCCTCCTCCTCCCTCCTCTTCCATCACCACCACCCTCCTCCTCCTCCTCTTCCATCACCACACCCTCCTCCTCCTCCTCTTCCATCACCCTCCTCCTCCTCCTCTCTCATCACCACCACCCTCCTCCTCCTCCTCCTCTCCATCACCACACCCTCCTCCTCCTCCTCTTCCATCACCACCACCCTCCTCCTCTCCTCCGCTACCATCCCTCTCCGCCACCGCCCCTCTCCACCACCCCCCTCTCCACCACCCCCCTCTCCACCACCGCCCCTCTCCACCACCGCCCCTCTCCACCACCGCCCCTCTCCACCACCGCCCCTCTCCACCACCGCCCCTCTCCACCACCCCCTTCTCCACCACCGCCCCTCTCCACCACCCCCCTTCTCCACCACCGCCCCTCTCCACCACCGCCACCAGACTTCAAATGAACATGTGTGTGGACAGGTAGCCTCATACTACCGGTTGGTTGGGTTCAAGGTCAATCAACTACACGATGGTCATCAAGGCTGCATGTAACTTGTTCATCACCAGCACAAAATACTTCAATCCCTAAAACAGAGATTGTATTAAACTCTCAGCATATATACCCCTGGGTGTATATCACCTCGATATTATACATTCAGCAAACGTCGGGTTGTTTCTGACAATGGTGACACATTAACCAGTATTTGAACAATGGTGTTGTGCTATACCTTAAGCACCACCACCACCACCATCACCCCCACCCCCACTCCCTAACCACCACCAACACTCACCACCATCACCCCCCACCACCACCACCAACACTCACCACCAACACTCACCACCATCACCCCCACCACCATCACCCCCCACCACCACCACCCCCCACCACCATCTACACATCAGTGGCTCCTAGTCCCGGGCGTTCAAACTTAACTTTATCAGTGTCGCACATCCTTCATGGGTGTGTGAGCCTTGAAGGGTGGCAGGTGAGGTACTGGTGCTGGAGACTTCACCTGGAACACTGACGAGCAGTCAGAACCTCGCAGCAGCACCAGTGCTCAGCGGAACAATAATGACCCAGGTGCTGTTTAACACTTGTCACATTTTTGGTAATTTAAATGAACTGAAAATAGCCAACACAAATTATGAATGGAAATACGACAAAGAATAGATAAAATAAAACACCAAGACTAAAGGAAATAATTTATAACTTCATAAATTTGCAATTCCCGAGTCCTGGGGAGGGGAGAGCCTGAGAAGGGGAGACTGTGGAGGGGAGAGTCTGGGGGAGGGGAAAGCCTGAGGCGGGGAGACAGGGGAGGGGAGTGCCTGAGGAGGGGAAACGGGAGGGGAGAGCCTGAGAAGGGAAGAGCCTGAGGAGGGGAGAGCCTGAGGAGAGGAGAGCCTTAGGAGGGGAGAGACTGGGGAGGGGTAAGCTTGTGGAAGGGAGAGCCTAGTAAGGGGAGAGCCTGGGAGGGGATGACAATTTTTTTTGGCTACATATTTTAGGAGTGACTTGAAGAGTGTAGCAGGTGTATACCGATGGCAGGTGTATACTGATGGCAGGTGTAAACTGACGCAGGTGTATACCGACGACAGGTGTATACTGTGGGAAATGAAAGGCATTCAGAATCAGTTCAAGGAATTGGAGTACCAGTTCAATTTCTCTGACCAAGAGCCTCTTTCTCTGAGGAACCTAGTGATTTAGAGCCTACCGTTTCTACTTCCCTCTTAGTGATACTTAGACTCAAAGCCTCAAACATTCTATCACCACAACCTAACCTACCCATCAGTGGGTCCTAGAACTGAGTGCCCACACTTAACTCTTGCCTTGTTTCACGCCCATCATGAGAGAGATCATCGTGCAAGAAATGAACCTTCCCTTCCTTTCCTTTTATCACATTCGATTACATTCACCTTCCCCCATGGTTTAGTGCTCCCCCACGAATGCTATAAAAACAGTCTGTTCCCACAGTCCTGCCTAGCGCTATTCACATTCCGCCATTCCCTTTTTCGAAAAAAATGCAATATGCATTTCTGAGAAAGAAAAGAGGGTTTGGGGACGGGAGTGGAAGGGGAAGGGGACAGGAGGGGGGCTATTTGTTTTTTTAAGACAAAAATGTTGCTTTGGATCTTCAGTGTTGGTGTTTACATCTCTTAGATACTTACTCTCGTCAAAATCGACAGCAAAGGTCTCCTTGATGGTGGCTGGAGCGTCGTCGGCCAGCTTGACAGTGAAGGGTGGGCCGTGCCCCAGCGACCAGTCGTCGGCATCATCCAACTTGAGGTCACCCACGTGTCGTGGTCCGCTGTTCTCCAGCACGTATAGCGTATTCGGATTAGCTACGTTAGGAGCGTTATCGTTGACGTCGGTGACGGTGAGCAGAAGAGTAGCGGTGGAGGTACGGGCAGGCACGCCACTGTCCACTGCCAGTATGTGGACCACGTGACGCTCTGCTGCCTCGCGGTCCAGCTGGCGACGAAGGTGCACTTGACCCGTAGAGTCCACGGCGAAAAGTCTGAAGGGGTCGCTGCTGGGGTCGATGGTGTAACGCACCTCGTCCTTACCCTCCTGAGAGAATGGAAATTAATATATTAAGTTAACTCTGTAATTCTACGTAGGTCCCCTCTCGATAAGTGGACAATACACCTTACTGAAACAAGCTGGTCAGGGCACTTAGTTGCAATATTTACCTTGGTGCAGTCAGTCTTGCACAGTTATGAAGTCAATGTAGTACATACTGCTAAGCCAGTCTTGTACACATTTAATCGGTTTTGTACATAATCTTGTACATTGTTACTGAGCCTTGTACACAGTTACTCAGGTAGTTTTGTACAGAGTAAAAACATGTGCCGCACACTAAAACATCTCCACTTCGTTGAATTACAACCGTCACTTATTTTACTATGACAAGCTGATTCTTCCAGTTATTTACAACGCCTGTAAAGTTTAATAAAATATATAGACGACACAGTGAAATACTGGTAAACATCCTAGACACCAAGTTAGTTGTAAAATTTACATTTGTATTCACCATTACCCGGAGCTGCCCCTGAGTGTAGCTTAACAACCATCTATTATCCGTCACGTTGAGTCACGACATCCACCTCATTCCACGTAGTTATCGTGTAACCGGCAACCTCTGGCGCCAGCACGCCAATTATTAGCTTACTAGTTAAAAGTCCTGATCAATGGAATGCTAATGAGAATTTTTAAGACACTCATTTACACAAGGTCAAAATCGCAGGGAAACAAGGCATATGTATACTGTCATAAAAAGCTTGTTCTCGGGGTCAGAACAAAGGTAAGTGCTCATATGAACATTGGGTCAGAAAGGCCAACTTATTAATAATAATAAAAATAATATCTATTACTACATGTACAAGGTATACAGTCCTAGCTGACATCAATGACATACTACTACAATATCGAAAGTCGCGCTGTTATGCAGAGCATTTTCGGACAAATTAAGTCAGTTCTGTCCCAGGATGCGACCCACACCAGTCGACTAACACCCAGGTACCCATTTTACTGATGGGTGAACACAGACAACCGGTGTAAGGAAACACGCCCTCGCTGAGAATCGAACCCAGACCCCTCATTGTGTGAAGTGAGAGCTTTAGCCACCCACGGTGTTTGTTATCAACGTTATATTTCTAATGTGCCGGGTTAGAGCCTCAGGATCACAATTGGCTCGTTGACATACTAGTGTCGAAGTGGCTGTGCAAGTAACCAGCTGTACATCGAGTTCTTATTTTAGATAAATGGTTCAGAGACACTTGTGCAACACTCGGGTACATTTACTATGGAAACGTTTCGCCAATGGTGTGTTCCAGGGCGTTCACCAGCACCAGTGAGAGTGGTGCTCGCGCACGTGCGGGGATGGCTGGTGTAAATGTTCAACATTTACTATAAACAGACCCTTGTAAACCCTGTTGCAGCAAGTCGTGTAATAAAATGAAAACATATCAATCAGACGTCTCGTTCAACCAATCCTTAATACTAAAAATATCTACGAAAAATGCATCTTGTTACCCCATGTTCATATGAAGACTTAAACTCCGTTTTGGGCCCGAGAACATGTACATGGAGTTATTTATGCATACCTTTTCTACATACACACACACACACACACACACACACAGCTAATTGTGAGTAACCTGGTCTTTGTCGGTGGCGGTGAAGGTGGCCAGTGAGTGACCGATGGGTGTGTCCTCAGAGAGTGTGAGGTGAGAGGTGTGGGTGGAGAGGTCTGGAGCGTTGTCGTTATCGTCCAGCAGCGCCACAACCACCCATGTTGTGTCCATGTGTTCCTCCTCTTCCCACCGGCCAGCCGCCTGTGGGACAAGCATCAACTCTTAATACATTACCAACACATTCTTATCAAAAGTATTTAAAACATAAATGAATGAAATTTAATGTTTGCCTGACGTTCCGGCTAGAAATGTTCCGTTTAATAGATTGACCAACATTACAGATATTTTTTCAGGCAATCATGCTGAAGTAAAATGTATATTTACCTGTTAAAAATACAATAAGTCACGAGTATTCTTAAGACTGGAGCATTTGACAATGTGTTAAGAAAGGAAGGCCAGGACTACAATTCATATTTGGAAGGTTGTTTATAAGCAGCCAGCAGTAACAGCCTGGTTGATAAGGCTCTGATCCACCAGAGGCCTGGTCACAGACCGGGCCGAGGGGGCGTTGACCCCCGGAACTCTCTCCAGGTAAACTCCAGGTAAGAGATGATTCAACAAGACAGTATCTTTGAAGTACAGAAAGGTTGATACGTTTAGCATAGGTCCAGTTAATGGGATGACTGTGATCTCTAACATGACAGAGAAGAGTACTGTTGGTGTTGATAAGGTAAGCACATCTTTTGTACTATTTATGCCCGCCAGAAAGGGAGCGATAAGTTTCATAAGAAGAACATAAGGAAGACTGCAACAGGCCTACTGGCCTATGCAAGGCAGGTCCAATTCTCCCACCGGCTTAAGCCAATGCCTTGACCTAGTGAGGTCAGACACGTCACTTAAGGGACGAGCACTGCATCCAACTTAGCACAAGCTAGTCAGGTCTAACTCACACCCACCCACACACTCGTGTATTTATCCAACCTATTTTAAAAACTACACAACGTTTTAGTCTCTATAACTGGACTCGGGAGTATGTTCCACTCATCCACAACTATTACCAAACCAGTGCTTTCCTATATCCTTCCTGAATCTGAATTTTTCCAATTTAAAGCCATTGCTGCCAGTTCTGTCTATGTTAGATATTTTCAGCATGTGGAAAAATTTTCTCCAGGGAGGGATATCAGCCCCCCTTCAGCCTCTTTCAGCCCTGAGGGGCCCAGCCCTCTCAGAAGGGGCAAACATCTTGTTTACTGCTACAGCAAGTAATTGATCCCAGATGCAGTACGAGTATGTGACGTGGTCAAGCGACCGCCACTCCTTGCTAGAGTCCAGTGTTGCAAAGTGTAGTTTAAAAAGAGACAGTCCATCTCTTACCTTAGCAGGACAATTAAGGAAAATTCTGCTCCCACTATATTACCATGATAAAGATAGTGTACATTGTTGTCTATGCTTAAGACAGCAAGAATCAAGCATTCTGCTTTGCTTCATGGAGGAAGTTTGGCAAGGAAGCAAAAAGTACTAGGTCAGCTCTTCCTTTATGTTCTAGGGGCATTGCAGCGGCATAGGAGGCTGTGAGGTCAGATTACTTTTGACTCTACTGAGAGACACATTGACGTGCCGGGATAACCAACAAAGAACGATGTTCCGCGCGTTTTGCACAAAAGAATCTCAATAAACACTTACAGAGAAGTGGGATCAGCTTCTTTAGTGACATTATGGTGTGAACAATTATTGATGAACAGTGTAACAACGAGTGTTGCGATCCAACAGAGTGTAGCACGACATTCTTCAAAGAACTAGTACTATTCTTCAATCAAGCATCGGATATCCGGGCATAACTACGGGTCAGATACATATACCCAGGTAAGTGTACTAACTCGTGATGTACTACTATTAACTGCGCAGTTGAGTATAAAGTTGCGAGTTAGTCACTTATCATAAACCCCGGTGATAAGTGGACCTTTGAGTCCACACAAGTAAGTGTTGTCAGCAATCAGTGTCTGATATATGCTGACAAAACACCCCCTAGGGGTAATTTATTATTAATGTATTTACTTTATAGCCCGTTGTGAAGTGGATACGACAGCTTCTCAAGACCTCGCTTGCAGGGGTGGCTGTGCAGGCGATGAGCTGTCTTACCAAGCTAAGTTCCCCCTATATAATAACCTTAGCTGGTAAACCATTTCTCAACACACCATGCTAATTACATCCCCTTTATTAATTCCTGTTTTCCATTTTTACACCTCAATCATATCCCTTTAATTCTGCACCTTTCTAGAGAGTGCAGATTAAGGGCCCTCAGTCTATTCTCATAGGGAAGATTTCTGATAAATGGGATCAATTTGACCATTTCTTTTTTTATTTATATGGTACAGGTTAGCGAGGCTCCATGGCCTCGACCGTTGATGCATCATCCATTCAGTGACAGAACCCTCCATAGTTTGGACCACATAAATGCCAATCTCTACCACACTAATTCCTAATATTATACAATCGGAGAGACATAATTCCCCTCCATGTGATAATGACAGCACCTAAGTTAACTATGTTTTGGGTGATGTGCCAGGCGTGCATTTTGCAAGCAAGCATGTACTTGTGGCACCACTGAATGTTCTTGCAAGCCTGCACCATCAACTGAGGAAACCAAACAATGTTGTCATGCCCTATCCTCTACTTTCTCCGATAGGTCTCATCATATTGGAAGTATTTGCGTGAGCAGCGAGAGCCTGCATGAAGAGAGTTTGTTTATGTACAAATAACCTGCACATAAATTATGACGGTGTTTCGTCAGAAGTTTCATTCTATGTGCAGGTTACCTGTGTATTGTTCCAGTCACGGTATTGTGCCTTTTTGTTCTACAAGAGCGTTTTCTTTTTCTTCGGAGTATAAGAACTCTCGTGGACAGGCAGCCCTCTCTCCTAACCTTCGTACACTACAGTGACAAAAGCCTAACGGCGAATCCTTAGGCAGGTTAAGCCATTTTCGAACATTAACACGCAACAGTCTACCAGCTGCTCTCAAGTATTTTGATAAGCACTGCCTAATATCACAGTTTATTTTACAGGTATCAAATGAAAGTTCAATGCATACATTTTCTGCTGGTGCTTTAGAGAAGCATTATCCAGGTTGTTAAAGCGCCCCTCGAGGCTGTCTAGTGAAGGTTTTCCTCTCCCAGTTGATGAGACATGCATTCCTAAATACTTATACTCTTCAGCTGCTTTTAACAGCTTAACATGTGTCTCCCTGACGTACGTCTGATTGAAATGATCAAAATATCATTGCTTTTTTCCTTGGCATAATTTTTGACAGCCACACATTTCTGCGGGTTAAGTTTTAATTCCGTAACAGCTAGATACTGCAGGGTCTTCAATTGCTAGTTGAAATCTGCATCAGTCTCCACCAACAACGCCACGTCATCGGCGAAGGGCAGGGCAGGAATCTGGTGGTCATACCTTGAAGAGTCTTGCCAGAGTTTTGTCCCAGGGTTTCATTTTAAACCATATTAAATAAAAACGCATGAGAAAGGATCGCCCTGTTTCACCCTTCTACTTGGCCATTCCTGCCTAACACGACAGATGAGGCTCCTTCGTACGCAGACATAATATTTTTTATTGAAATTTCAGGGGCACCATAGTTGTATAATGCCCTACGGACTGGTGAATAGTTGACCCAATCATAGGCTTCTTGACATCCAAAAAATAACTGACAGTGGCTTAATAAATTTATTTTCATTAATAATCGAATCAAGCAGTAATTCATTTTGTGCCAATCCATCGGTGGGAAGGAACGTCATTTGCGCTGAGTGAAGTGGAATCCATTCGATAAAACGTGACACCAATACACGATGAAACACCCATATAATAAAACTGGAGAGATATAAATGGGTGCCCACAACTCTTTTGTTATTCAATACCTTCATATCCTTCAACTTCCATCTATCTGGTCCTGGAGCCGACGCCGTATTAGATCCATCAATTGCGCTTCAAATATCTACACTACCAATGGGGCGTCGCAAGTGCCAACGCTGTCATTTAACTCCACAACGCCCTATCTATCTTACAATGACGGACAAGCAGAGACCCAACCAGACCTCTTGTAGTTGATCATCACTCATCTCCGACAGTAGCCTCTTAACAGGAAAACCTCGCTCCGCTCAGTAGTTTCCTCGCACATCAGGCACGGTCTTTAAGATATAACTTTTGTAAATCGGTACAACTGCCTTATTTTTGCTCTATATCCACCTATATTATTGGCAAAAATGAGGTGACTATCTTTTTTCACCAGATTGGCGACCCTCTCTACGAGACCCATAATTGATACGCATAATGGTTCTAACGTTGAATGAATAACACTTAAATCACTAAAACTCTCATCCCTCCAGAATCTTCCGAGCATGTATGCAGCACGATGGCAAACCACTTGGAGTCCCAAAAACTGCACAATCCAGGGCAACATGGGTTCAGAGCAGGTCGCTCCTGCCTCTCGCAACTACTGGATCACTATGAAATGCTCTTGGATGTACTGGAAGAAAAACAAAATGTGGATGTAATATCCATAGACTTTGCAAAAGCCTTTGAGAAGTGCGGTCATGGCATGATAGCGCACAAAATACGTGCGAAAGGAATAAATGACAAAGTGGGGAGATGGCTTTTTCAACTTTCTAACCAATCGAACACAAAGAGTCGTGGTAAACAGAGTTAAATATGAAGCTGACATAGTGAAAAGCTCTGTTCCACAAAGCACAGTACTCACTCCCATCCTGTTCCTCATCCTCATATCAAACAGATGTAATCCACAGCACCGTGTCACCCATTGCAGACGATACTAGGATCAGCATGAGGCTGTCATCTGCTGAGGACGCGGTTAACCTCCAAAAAGATATAAACCAAGTTTTCCAATGGGTAACGGAAAACAATATGATGTTCATTGAAGACAAACTCCAACTACTCCGTTATGGAAAACTGGAGTACAGAACTGAGTATACTACAAACTCTAATCATACAATAGAGGAAAAAATAATGTGAGGAGGGGTAATGTCTCAGGATCTCACTTTCAAGGATCACAACAGTGCCACTATCACAGCTGCAAAGAAAATGATAGGATGGATAATGAGACCGTTCAAAACAAGAGATGCAAAGCCAATGATGATCCTTTTCAGATCACTTGTTCTTTCTAGGCTGGAATATTGCTGTACATTAACATATCCGTTCAAAACAGGTGAAATTGCAGATCTAGAGAATGTACAGAGAACCTTTACTGCACATGTGTCATCAAACACCATAACTACTGGGAACGCTTGGAAGCACTTGACTTGTACTCGATGGAACGCAGACGAGAGAGAGATCATAATCTACACTGATGGTCAGCATCATTTGCCACCGCCACCACAACTGCTATTACTACAACTACTAGTACTACTACTACAACTACTAGTACTACTACTACAACTACTAGTACTACTACTACAACTACTAGTACTACTACTACAACTACTAGTACTACTACTACAACTACTAGTACTACAACTACTAGTACTACTACTACTACAACTTCTTCCCCGCCCCCTCCCGTATTGTCTTTAGGCCTTCTCTAACTTTCTCTCTCCAGTCAACACGGAGTCATCTCAAACGTCAGGTGTTCAACACACCTCCAGAGAATCTGCCGAGTCATTTTGGCGGCGGCCGGAGTGCCAGAACTGGCCGGTCATAATGGAGGCAGAAGCATTGAGAGCTTTTGAGAGCTGAAAGCCTCACACCAGAGAAAACACCGGCCCCGACACCACTTCAATAGAAGACGTGGTGTACTAAGCTGCAGGACGTCCACGACGACTGTAACTAAGTGCTACACCTTTTGTACTGAAGACTCACCCTGCCCTTGTCACAGGGCTACCCCGCTACAGGGCTGTGAGCGGTACTCCACTTGACCTTCAAAACTAGGGACGCAAAGCCCATGATGATTCTCTTCAAATCTCCTGTTCTCTCTAGGCTGGAATACTGCTGTACACTAACTGCCCCCTTCTAGGCAGGCGATATTGCTGACCTGGAGAATGTACTGAGAACTCACGGCACACATAAGTACGATAAAGCACCTAAATTACTGGGAACGGTTAAAGTCCCTTGATCTGCACTCCCTGGAACCCAACCGAGAAAGATACATGATACTATACACTTGGAAAATCATAGAAGGATTAGTACCAAACCTACATTCCCTACGAAAGCAAAAGACTCTGCAGGAGATGCAACATTCCCCAATGAAAAGCAGGGACGCCACGAGTACACTAAGCGACAACACAATAAATGTCAGGGGCCCAAGACTGTTCAACTTCTTCCCAGCATACGCAAGGGGGATTACCAGCAGACCCTTGGCTGTCTTCAAGAAGGCACTGGACAGACACCTAAAGTCAGTACATGATCAGCCGGGCAGTGGTTCGTACGTCAGTTTACGTGCGGCCAGCAGTAACAGCCTGGTTGACCAGACCCTGATCCACCACGAGGCCTGGTCTCAGACCGGGCCGCGGGGAGGTTGACCCCGAAACCTTGTAAACGTTACAACAACTGACACGAAAGTTCACCGTGCCCTTGCTATAGGGCTGTAAACGGTACATCACTAGTACCAACTCCGACACACCCCGGGAGCCACTACCGGGTCACCACATGGTGAAGACCGTCCTGGCGATCCTACATGAACATGACTTCTCTAATTTTCTCTGCCGTTGTGTTAACAGTGGTACAGGTGAACCGAAATGTCTTAATGAGGTTCCTCCCCTATTTTTTTTTTTAAGCAAATTTTTCCTGCAACAATGTGTGATTATTTCCTAGCAAGGCTGATTAAATAGAGCTTTTAAAAAGATATAATAGAGTTCAACGCCAGAGAAAGAGGAGCCAGTAGTGGTCAGGAAACCACCAGGCCAACGTCAGAATCAAACCATACCCCCCGGATTGAACCCGCGGTCATAGAGTCTGCAAAACTCCGCCCGTCGCGTTATGCCACTAGACACAGGTCTGGTCTAGTGGCTAACGCGACGGCTGAGTTTTGAGACTCTATGACCGCGGGTTCAATCCCGGCCGGGGGTATGGTTTGTTTGCAATCGTGTCATTACGATTTCTTAAGCTCAGAATCAACTCCTGCTGTCATATGTAGGTGAGCGCGCGCGCACGCACACATTCTTGTAGAAGGAAGCACCTGCTCTGAAGACACACCTATGAAAGAACGTCAAAAATAAGAGATGAAGAGGTTCGCAATGATATTATTCACTCAGTTAAGACGACTGAACAATACGGAGAAAAGGATAGGAAACGACCGACATTAAAAGGTAAATGGATCAGGGAATGCTAGATGAAATGACAGAGTGAACAAGAATAGATTGTTCCAGAGACTAATAAAGATCACAATTAGAAGTTATAAACAAGTCTCAGGACTGACATGCGTGAAGAAGTGACAGACAGACTCCATACACAGCTTTAGGAATAACTATGATAGAGGTCACAAGGCTAGAAGTAAAGTGAACCCAGCCACGGCCAGTTAAGAGGCGAGGCCAAACAACCAAGAACAGGAGATACGTACGTTCGCGCACGCACACTCTTTCCTTTATTATATTTCCTAATTTTAAAAATACAATTAGGTCTAATAAACTTGGTTGTTTTCTCATTATCTTCGTTTTGTGTTCCACCTCTAAGCGCTTTGTAAAATAAAGGTCTTCATTCTCTTGGCCATTACAATGTATTACTGTTACGAGAAGTGTTAGCAAAGTAACTTTGTTTAAGTTAGACTTTTGAAGGAAAATACACAGTCAGTTTTATTTCCAAAATTATTTTTCTCGTGTCCTTGTAATATTCAACTGATTTCGTTAAAATACAAGTTATTTTCTACCGAAAATGACAAATTCTCCAGCATCGTACTTACAAAAACTTTCATATCAATAAAATCTTGCAGAAGTAGTTACGTGTTGGTCGCTGTGCGAGTCTGAGGAAGGTATTCTCATGTCCTATATAACCAGCCTCCTCTACCTCACTGACCACAAGACGAATTGTAATAGAGTACAGAATAAATTTCAACTGCAGGTTGATGTCAACACTGAAACTTTGAAGTCAGAAGAGGAATTAAAGTCATCGTATGGACAATGATAAGACGAATCAGACACATGTGCAACACCTAGGTATCTTTATTTCAACAACAGCTTTGAAAGTTTCATACCTATCACAAGAGTCGTTCTCTACTTACTGCACAGCTACCAGGATTCCAAAATATAACAGCACTACGTTGAAAGCCGCTCTGAGGTTCCATTGTTAGGTTTTCAGTGTTAAGTTTTGAAGCTGATCGGAAGACGTATTAACAACTTTTGCACAAGCCCCATATACATATATATATTAGTGGAATATTCCCAGCCAGCTCAGAACTAATATTTACACGATATTTACCTTTGAAAATAAATTATATTTTATTTTTATTAAACGTTAAGGCTGCAGTTTCGAAGATGCTCACCTTGTCTGAGACTTGAACCTTGAAGCGGAAGCCCTGCCGCTGGATGGGATCCTCGTAGTCTAGGCTCTTCACTGCCTGCAGAGCACCGCTACCCTGGTCGGAACCCACCAGTCGGAACCTCTCCCAGCCGTACCCACTGTCCGCCAGGATCTGCAGAAGCACAAGTCAATAACAATATTAATGAAAAGACGGGATCAGGACAAGCTTTTAATATGAAAACGTTTCGCTCTGCGTAGAACTTGACTCAGCACTACATACAGCGAGATGTTGTCATAACATTTACTCTGCACGTGTCTTTTTTCTTCATAAATGTCAGCAATGCAGTGTTGTATCCATCAATGTTCACAGTGTTCAAGTGATCACTGACGTCAAGCATTACTCTGCACGACTGAAGTCTCCATGAAGTCTCAGAATTACTCCAGGATGGTACCTCGCCATCTGGAAGAAATATGTCGTTATACGAGGAAATATGTTGTAACATGATCTCGCCATCTGGAAGAAGTAATATTATTACTTTTGTATGTAATAAGGCTTACCAAGCACTGAAACTTTATTATATACACAAACTAAGCATGTTTCTGTCGCCGCTCTATCAGAGAGAGAGAGAGAGAGAGAGAGAGAGAGAGAGAGAGAGAGAGAGAGAGAGAGAGAGAGAGAGAGAGAGAGAGAGAGAGAGAGAGAGAGAGAGAGAGTATTCCTCGTATCCCACCAGCCCAGCCTCTCATAACTCAATCCAGACAACATTCAATAGCTTCAGAAGTGACAAAAAGGAACAATACCGCGACTGGAACAATACACGGGTAGTTAAATCAATGTAATTTTTATTTCTAACTCCTGCCTTTTGTTGCATATTCCCCTCAAGGAAGGTTCCTTGATGTTGGTGAGGGCTCTTGATTTAGGAAATTGGATCTGTGCTCCAGTTCCCCGAATTAAGCCTGAATGCCTTCCACATCCCCCCCCCAGGCGCTGTATAATCATCCGGGTTTAGCGCTTCCCCTTGATTATAATAATAATTGTTGCATATTCTGTTTTCCCTCTAACTGTCCAGCTGTTAACTATGCCAACTCTCTGCTACTCCAACTTGCAACTGCTGCTGCCTCTGTCAAATGCTTAAAGTACTACAAATCTTTAAGAACCAGCACGTAAGAGAGAAGCTTATGTCGAAGTTTCGGTCCGACTTGGACCTGTAAATGGTCCAAACAGTGTAAAACTGGTCAATTAACAAGAACTCACTTAAAATTAAGCCCTTTCTAAAATTTTCTCTTATACGTTTAAAGATATATTTTTTCATTTATGTTAATGTACAAATTAATAATTTTACACCAAAAGAACCTTAGGAAACTTACCTACCCTTATTATAACAAGCGTAATTTAATTTAGCTTAATCCAGCTAAATATGTTTTAGATAAGTTTACAATAATTTATTAATGAACAAACACAATGAAGTATTTTTTTTTGTTTGGTTCAGAATGATTTTTGCGAAATTATTGCATACACAAATTTTCGCTTGTCTTATACGGCAAGACGAGCGTTGCTATTTAAGCCAAAATAACAAGTTTTAAACCAAAATTCGGCACGACACACACACACACACCCCACCCCACGGGGTTTCAATCCTGGGGGACCAGTGTGTTTCTGGTATTTGTGAACGTAGGGACGGAAGGAAAAAGCCCAGGTGTTCCTGTTTGCGATGACGTAAAGGGTTTGATGAGAAAAATTTCCCATTCGATCGAAGCCGGGGCGAATACAAAGGGAATCGGGAACAGGCTGTAGACCTGGTCCAGCTATTGGCTCCTGGAGTTAAAATTTCCCACCCAAAGTCCCCAAAGTCATGAAGTTTGGGGAGGGGCAAAGAAGACCGCGGGGAGGGAGTACAGTCTGGGGGGGCCCAGAAATAAAACCCATTTCAAGGAAAAAGTCTTGGGGTGATAAAAACCCAAACATCCCCTAAACGCACATAAAACCAAAAACCCGGCTGCAGCATATGGGCGGGGGGGGCCAAGAAACCTCGGGAACAGCTTTCCCCGACATTTAATAAAAAAATCTTTCAGGCCCCTGACACCGTGTACGTTGGGGGCCCTTTGGGGGAGTATGGGGCCACCAGGGGGGAAACCCCACCCTAGCCAAGCCCGTAAAGAAATTATAGAAATTTGAAAAAGGTTTTGCAAAAAGATTTATCCCGCCCTAAGGGGTATGTCCAAACGAGGAGTTTTTTAAGGGAAATCAACCTGAGGGACATGGAGGGCAGGAGAATAGGGGGCCCTATAAGGGAAATTTACAAAATAATGAGAGGAATTGACAAGGGGACAAAGACGGATGTTCCAGGGGGATGGACACAGCAACGGGGGGACACATTTTGGAATTTGAAGACACAGATAATACAGGGGAAAGTTAGGAAGTTTTTCCCTTCGGGCCACAAGAAAGTCGGGAAGGGGAAATAGTTTGGGAAGCAAAAGTAGTGGAGGCGGGATCCATACATAATTTAAGCAGGGGTTTATGATAAAGTGGGAAAACATGGAGAGGGGGCCTAGTAGCGACCAGTGAAGGGGCGGGGCCGGGAAAAGCTTGGACTCCCCCCTGAAACCCAACTAGGTGAAAAACCCCACATACACGCATATAAAAATAATTTAAAAATAATATATATATAAATTAAATATATATTTAATATTTTTGTATTTATAAATAAAATATAAATATTAATTTTATATATAATATAAATATGTATTTATTTTTATATGCATATATATATAAATATATATATATATATATAAAATTTTATATATAATATAAAATATATTTTTAATATAGGAAATTTATATATATATTTGTTATATAAAAATTAAATTATAATATATTTTATATATTTTAATTTTTTATATAAATAAATATATATATATGTATTTATATATATATATTGTAATATATATATAATTTTAAATATATAATTTATATAGAAATTTAAAATTATATGCATATAAATTTATATTATTTTAAAAATTTTTATATATTTTTAAAATATATAAAAACACCTAAGTAACAGGGAAAATTCTTGTATTTCCTATTTACATTTTGGTCCCCCATTTTCACAGACACCACATGAAAAATATATAATACATACACTGGGTTTTTCTTTTTTTCAAATAGCCTTGTTCTTTTTTATTTCTTCTTTTGGGTCCGGGGGGGAAGTGGAAAAAATCTTTCCCCCGAAAAGCCATGGTGTCGTATAGGCGACAAAAATCCCGGGGAGCAAATGGGTAGTAACCCCTTCCTGTAACAATTACTAAAAAAAGAAAAAAAAAACTTTATAAAACTGGGTTGCCCTTTAAAAGGGGTGGTTTTTAGTGCGGATGACAAGAAACAGATGAATTTCTGTTTTTATGAATGAAAAGGTGGAAAGTCCCGGCCCTAAGCGGAAAAAAAGCTGAAGGGGGGAGGAGGTTTCAAATGGGGGGGAAAAAAATGGGATTTAAAATTTTGGGGTATCTGAGAGAGTTAGGCAAAGGAAGGGGGGAAACCCGTAATGTTAAATGATCAGTTTTTGGAAGGGAAAAGAGAATATGAATGTGTAAATTCAAGAATTATTGGGTTTAAAATAAAGGGTTGGGGTCGAAAAGTGGTCATAAAAGCGTGGGATGCACCGGGGGAAGAGAGGAAAGCAAGGGAAGAAAAGATTTTTGGGGATGTTAAGTGAATTTTATAGGAGCCTTTGAAAAAAAAGGGGGAGAGTTAAATTTTGGTAGGGGATTTGAAAGCTAAAGTAGGGGAAACTTTTTTGAGAGGGTTGGTAGGGAAGTTTTTGGGGGGCCAGGTTTTAAATTGGGTAATGGGAGCCCCTTGATTGAACTTTGTATAGGGGAAAAGGGGGGTTTTGTTATAGGTAAAAACATATTTTAAGAAAAAAAGGAAAATAAGTTTAAAACCCATAAAGTAGGGCGAAAAAGACAGTAGTTTGGGTTGGGGTTAATTTTTTGGTAGATAAAAGACTGTTATAGGGCTTCAGGGTGTAATGTTTATAGAGGGGCCACAGAATAAACAGATCACTTTTTGGTGGCTATTTCTGGGGAAATAAAAGGTAGATGGGATACAAGGAAATAGAAACTCAGGGAAAAAGAGAGGTTAAAGGGTTTTTAAAAATAAAAGGGAGGCAGTTAGGGTTAAAAATATAAACAGCTATTGGAGGATAGATGGGGTTTAAAAGAGCATAGGCCAATGGGGTCGAAGATTTTGGGGGGTTTGGGTTTTAAAAGTGGGTTTTGAGGTTTAGCAGGGAATTTGTGGTTAAGGGAAAATGGGTTTCCCGGAGGGAAAGGGGGTATCGATTTTGGGGGGAAAGATGATGAAAGAGAGTAGTAAGGGGGAAAAAGTTTTGATATGAGAATTTTACAAAAATAAAAAGTATTTCAAGGAGGGAAAAAGTATTGGGGAAAAAAAAGAGGGGTTAAGAGAGTGGTTTTAAACAAAAAAAAAAGGGGCAAATGAGGAGTGGGTTTAGATGTTTTAAAAAAATTTTTTTTTGAAAAAAAATAAAAGTTTTGGAGTGAGATTAACAAGTTAAGAAAGCCTAGAGAACAAATGGATTTGTCAGTTAAAATAGGAGAGGAGAGTTATTAAATGGAGAGTTAGGGGTATTGGGAAGATGGAAGGAATATTTTGGGGAATTGTTAAATGTTGATGAAGATAGGGAAGCTGTGATTTCGTGTATAGGGCAAGGAGGAATAACATCTTGTAGGAGTGAGGAAGAGCCAGTTGTGAGTGTGGGGGAAGTTCGTGAGGCAGTAGGTAAAATGAAAGGGGGTAAGGCAGCCGGGATTGATGGGATAAAGATAGAAATGTTAAAAGCAGGTGGGGATATAGTTTTGGAGTGGTTGGTGCAATTATTTAATAAATATGATGGAAGAGGGTAAGGTACCTAGGGATTGGCAGAAGAGCATGCATAGTTCCTTTGTATAAAGGCAAAGGGGATAAAAGAGAGTGCAAAAAATTATAGGGGGATAAGTCTGTTGAGTGTACCTGGTAAAGTGTATGGTAGAGTTATAATTGAAAGAATTAAGAGTAAGACGGAGAATAGGATAGCAGATGAACAAGGAGGCTTTGGAAAGGTAGGGGGTGTGTGGACCAGGTGTTTACAGTGAAACATATAAGTGAACAGTATTTAGATAAGGCTAAAGAGGTCTTTGTGGCATTTATGGATTTGGAAAAGGCGTATGACAGGGTGGATAGGGGGCAATGTGCAGATGTTGCAAGTGTATGGTGTAGGAGTAGGTTACTGAAAGCAGTGAAGAGTTTTTACGAGGATAGTGAGGCTCAAGTTAGAGTATGTAGGAAAGAGGGAAATTTTTTCCAGTAAAAGTAGGCCTTAGACAAGGATGTGTGATGTCACCGTGGTTGTTTAATATATTTATAGATGGGTTGTAAGAGAAGTAAATGCGAGGGTTTTG